GATGATTAAAAGAAAAGAAAGTCCTCGTGGTGCATGTGCACCACACAGAATAGCCACTGATGGCCTGTTCAAACTAGATGTTGATGATGACATCTGGCAGGATGTTGGTTTAGATGACATGGATCTCTCTTCTGGCAGGGAAATCCCACAATGGCTGGGTGATGAAGGTGTGCGGAAAGGAATTAAATCATTATTGGAGCTGGATCGATGCCAGGAAGAGCTGCGACGATTGTCCTATGAGCGTAGTGCAATGCAAGAATGGTTTGCAGAAGAGTGGAAGTGTGTTATGATGGCTATGCAAAGTGAGCAAGATCAAGATGTTAGGTATCAACTGGAGTTACATGCATATACTTTGCTATGTCTATGCAACATCTGGCAGGATAAAGTACGCTTAGTGATTCCACACAAGACAATGAGTCCATCTTGGGGTCCAACAGTTGAGGAACTTGCACTGGCCCGAACCTGGGAATCATCTGAAATGACAATGGAGAATGAGATTGATGGTGAAGAAGAGGATGAGAGTGATGATGATGAAGACCAAGAGGATGATGGTGAAGAGCAAGAGTTGCTTGAAGCTGTTGAAATGGTAGCACTTTCTGATGAGTTCCGTAATAGTTACATGCAATAGTTGGAATGTACTGAATTGAATAGCATGTGAAAAAATAGACTCTTGTTCATTGATTTCACTTTTCTGCCCCCAGAAACATCCAAGATACTCCCCAGTTCTACTACTATTTTCTGAAAGTATATTCTGGAAAGGTGAGTTGATATGTGGTGAAGATAGATTTATATTTCAAATATATATATGTATTTGAAAAATATAGAAGATATATCCTGGCTCAAGATATAGTTGAAGGATATATCCTGGGTCAGGATATAATTGAAATATATGTCTTATGAATATATTCTTGTTCAAGATATAGTTGAAAGATATATCCTTGTTAAGATAAAGTGGAAAGGTATATCTTGGTCCAGCATCTAATTAAAATATTCATGATATAGTTCAGAAATTATGTATCTGGATTCATGATATGGTCGAAAAATAGATCTTGGTTCAGGATTTTTTAGTGGAAAGATAGGTGTGACTCCATACTATGACATGGTGAATAGAATTCGTTGTCCAAAAATTTACAATCAAAACTCAAGAGAAAGAGGGAGGAAGGTAGGGAGAGAAGAAGAGGAGGAGAAGAAAAGAAGAGAGGAGAGAAACAACAAAGAATGTGGTGAACTCTTGTCTGTGAAGGGTGGTAATACAGATGTGGGTGGGGTGTTCAGATAAGGTGCAACTGGAGAGAGAAGAAGAGAAAGATCAAAGAACTTTGTCAACTTGCTGGTAATACAGATGTTGGTGAACTGTGCAACTGAAAAGAGAAGAAGAGAAAGATCAAAGCAGTTTGTCAACTTGATGGTAATACAGATGTTGGTGAACTGTGCAACTGAACAGAGAAGAAGAGAAAGATCAAAGCACTTTGCCAACTTGATGGTAATACAGATGTTGGTGAACTGTGCAACTGAACAGAGAAGAAGAGAAAGATCAAAGCACTTTGCCAACTTGATGGTAATACAGATGTTGGTGAACTGTGCAACTGAACAGAGAAGAAGAGAAAGATCAAAGCACTTTGTCAACTCAGAGGGTGTTTCAAGGCAGCTAAAGAATTTCATAGTACAAACTGTATCTATAGTGTCAAAGTGGATAATATGCAAGCAACTACTCAGGTAGGTTGCAGATGCTATTGATGCCCCTTATTGCTACCTACATACTGGGAGGACAGACCAGACATACTGCCAAAACCCCTGGAAATCATTGCAGAATCTTCCAGAATATATATCCCAGACAGCAAAAAAATCACAAGTT